TCCTGCTGGTGTTAATCTTGAATATTCAGTTAGTTCTAAGTCCCTGCTGCAGTAGTACCACTTTAGATGATACCATGCACACATCAGGGTTAGTGGTTTTCAGCTTTAGTTGAATGCCCTTAACTGAGGCTTCTGGCACTTGGAAGAATTGGGTGTTAAGTGTGCTGACAAGAATCTGGAGTGGATGTGGATTAATAACCTCTTCAGACCCTGCCTGTAGCTCTTCAGCTGAGTCACTCCATGTAATACTGGCCATGTCCTTCTTGGCATAAACTCCAGAAGCTTTTTAAAAGGATTTTAAGGTTGGTAGTTAGTAAGTCATTGCATGTAACACTTACGTTGTCACACTGCTGTAGGATAATCTATATGGCCTTTTAAGTTCAGAAATCCAGAAGCTTTGGAGTGTAGTACAGAGTATGTTGGTACACTTGACCTAGAGTTCTGTGTGCTTTGCTAAAGATACTTGCAGGCCTGGTATAAGATTGGGAATGTGACTTGTCAACAGAGTAATCCTGGACTTGGGAGGAAAACCCGCTGTGTGCCTTAGTATTATTTGGTACATCTGCATTTGTTCCAGTTTTCAGTCTCTTGGCTGTTGTTTTAGTGGTGCTTAGGGCTTTGGAAACATGTTTATTAACATGGTGGCTTTAGATGTCCACCCCTTTCCTGCTTTCTTGTGCTTGTATTTGAAGGAGCTGTTGATAAAAGACTGCTTGGTATTACTGTGTTCCAGAGACTGCAGTAGTGTTCAGGACTGAGCAGAGCTTCCTATCAGCATAGCAAAAATTCTGTCACATTTTTTGTCCTTCTTGCATTGTGAGATGAGATTTTTCAGCCTTCAACACGGTCTTTATGTTTCCATCTCAGAGTAGTTAACTTTTTTTTTTTTTTTTTTTTTGGCTTAGCTATTGCTTCATAAGGTATTCGTGTTTTACTGAAGATTGACTTGATTTCTAGACATCTGAAAGAGAAATATAAACAAAAACTGGTGTCCTACTGTCCTGGCTTCTGTTCCAGCATTCCACAGACATCAGTATTTCCAGTATCAGTTTGTCACTTCAGTCTCCCAGCTCTTCCTTTGTACTGTTATCACTCCTGTGAAGCAGCTGTTTCATTGAGCTCTTAGGCTTGTTTTGCATAGATTTGCATAAATAATTGAAGAACAAAATCAGATTAAAAAAAACCCACCAACAACTTGTTCCACATGTAGATGCAGTTTCAGCTGGATACTAAGAAAAATGGCATTTATGTGAGGCTTTGGGTTATTTTTAGTGTTTGCTGGCTGTGGTCAGTGTCACAGCCAAATCACCAGCACTTTGGGGAATTAAGCTTAATGCTGTCAGATGTAAGGAAGGACCTGTGTGCACTTCCTAAAATAGCAGCGTGGATTGTTGCCCTGATCAAATGTGCTGAGCAGTGAAAAGAGGTGAGAATTGGCAACAGCAGTGGAACAACAAATCCTATGTATTTCCAGGTTGGGGTTTGCATTTCTGATGCTGTGCCTACCTGCAGCAAAATGCAACATGCAGGGCTGGTACATGTATTGGATGGGTGGAGAAGGCAGCAATGTGGAGCCAAGGTCTAGGGGGGAAAGGGATAGGCAGAAGATGGTCTGTGGTAACTCTGCAGGTGTTGTCCAGCTGAAGTCCTTTGTGGCTTGCTCCTTTTGAGCTGTCTCCCTGCTTTCCCTTTCAGTGTCCAGTGGTACTAAAGCAATGTCTGTGTGCGTGCACTCACATGCAGACCTACTGCTGTGGAAGAGGTAACTTGCTTTTCCAGAGCCTTTAAAACAGATCTGTATTTGAATCTGAGAAATCAGTAGTTTTTCTGAGAACTGCATCATAGGATTAAAACACATTTCTTTTTTTCCTTTCAGTGCTCAGCTTTAAAGGTTTAAAACTGCTTCACTATTTAGGACAGTTGGAAATGTGTTTCCAAGTTCAAACCCCTGTTGTTCTTGGAGCATGGTTTCAAAGTTCCTTCACACATCTGTGATTGCTTCTCAGTATATTATGTATTTGCCTGAAGGCAAATTATTCAGTACATGGAAGACAAGTAAGAAACTACTTGCAAGAAAGCAGGGAATGGAGCACCCTTGTCAGGAAGGGGAAAGAATTAACATAATCCTTAACTCCCACCCCCCGACGCCACCCCCAAATTTCTGACTTGATACAGCAGTTGGGGGTACCCTCAAAACTAGGTCAGAAGGTCTTAAGAGTAACTTAAAATGCTCTTAATGTGCATAAATTTCTTTTGCTTCTTAGTTTGTACTTTATGTTCTTTAATGTCACATCCTTTAATTTCAGATACAAAGGTCTTGCGGTACTATTTTAATCTGGGATTGCAAGTAAGTGCTTTTAAAATGTACAGTAAATTGCCTGCAAAACCTGCTGGTTTTCTTGACAAATGCACTGATGTATTTGAGACTTCCCAGGTGTGCTAAATGTGCATCCTGCATGTTTGACTTTATATATATAGGCTTGTTTGCTGGAGATTAAAGTATAGCTTAGGAAGTGAAGCTGTAACTCAAAATGTGAAGCACACTAGCATGTATGTTTAGTTGTTTTACTTTGGCTTGTGGTGGTGGGTTTTTTTCTTCCTTTTGTTTTTGTAGAGGATGGTGGATAAGTATTGTTCTTTCCATGAAGATGTAAGGGGAGGAACCTGAGCCATTCTTAAGAAAATTTGTGTACTTAGACATCAAAGACCATGTAGAGATGTGTGTTTTGAGTCTTCTAGGACTTGTACAGTTGTGTTCAGACTGGTTGGCACCACTTGTCTGTGTTCTGGGAACTCTTGCTCTGCTGAAGAATTGTCTCTGCACCAGCAGGCATATGTGGTGTCAGTGCTGCTGCTTAGGGAAGTAAAGGAAGTCATGTCAGCTTTTGTGGCTGAAGAAATAGGGAAAACTTTTGTGATAGTTTTGAAAGGTGGGAATCTTCTTTCTCTGTAGAGCTTTCTGACACAACAGCAACTTGTGAGGTGGCTGCTGCTGCAGGTATTGCAGTGTTTTTTCTGGTAGGCTGTATCGGGGTGTTTTGGCGTGTGTAGTATCTTGAGGATCTAGGAAGGAAGAAATGCACTTCTTCCTAACTTTAGATCTGAAGCTAGCAGTGATTTGGAAGAGGGATGGAGAGTTCATGGTTGTATGAGTGACCTTGCATCATTTTTCCTTTTCTCAAAGTACTACCATCAGAGCTATTGGCCTCCCATGATGTATGTAGAGCCAGTGCTGCCCCCATCACCTCTGGAAGTTTATCCAGCATATACAGAGCCAGCTCCTGTCCTAGATCAGTCAGTACATCAGCTCTACACTGATGCTGGGCGAACTGAAATCCACCAGGTTCCCTTGGAAGCACCTGCAAACGGTTGGTATTTGTGAGTACGAGTCCACAGACAACAAATGAGAGTGAGGGAATAGGTTTTCAGAGCTGTTTGCCTGCAGCTTTGCTATCCTATAGGAAGCATGAGGTTGGAAGGTCATAGAGTAAACCTTGTAAGGAGTTATCCCAAGTTCCTCTGCCGTCTGTGGTATTTTGTAGTATGTCACAGGCACTGATGTAGCCACCAATGTGTCAAGGGCTTTCTAAAGCCATAAAAAGGAAGAAGGAATCCTTTCTAGGCCTGAACCAGGTATGCTAACTTTAACTTGGCAGGACTCTTTCTAAAACTCTGAAGGAGTGTTTTTGCTTCCTGATGAGCAGAGAGTCAGGGTATCAAACCAGAATGCCTGTATTCTTAAAACTGAGTTTTGGCAAGCATTCCAACTTAAAGCTTGTACATTCACTTGGCAGTAAACAGAGTATTGTATTGAATGAGGAGAAAGACTTAATTGCTCTGATGGTGCTTTGGCCTGCTCAGTTTGAGTGGTTCTTTTGCATAGATTAGTGTCATATGGTCCGACATCAAATAGGGAAGAAGATACTGGCTCTCTACCCAGAGTCCTTGAAAAAGCTGCCACTTGGAAGTAGAATGCTACTGAGCAACGCTTGAACAGAGTTTTGTGAGCAAGGTGTCCTCTAGTCTAACTTAGGACCCCAAATGATTTTGCCTCCTCCATTAGGAGGGACATCTATGGGCATAAAATTGTCATCTAAATGGATTATTTCCCTTTGGGCCACCAGAATAATGCTGTCTTCATAGTAATGAAAGTCTGCATAAACAGGCCATAGTTATGGTGTGTATTTTGTTCTGTTTTTTAAGGTAACTTTCAAAACGGAGAGGCTCCAGCCCTGCCCTATGGGTCAGTGTATTACCCAGCTGTGTCAGACCCCTTCAGCCAGCGGTCTCTTCCTGGGTTTGATTCTTTAGTACCTGCCTATCACTATGTTAGTACCTGGCATCCAGCAAATCCACCCTATGGAAATTCTCCACAGATTGCTAATGCTGCGAGTTCTGGACCACTGCAGCAAGTCAGCTATATTGCCTCACCTAACCCTGCACCTCATGATGTGCCTCAAGGAATGTAAACCAGGGAGCTATAAACTCACTTCTTGCTCTTGGTTTCTTTGTTTGTCAGATATGTTAATATTGTTTTGTAAATCTTACCTTGTCTTAATGGGCTGGGTCAGTTGATTAAACTACACTCAAATTTCATGTCTCTCTTTAGATTTATGCTGGTGATCTATGACTTGATGTTTTGGTGGATTATGTAGGAAAGCATAGGAAAAGAGTGTACAGAAATGATAATGCAGGGAACACAAAGCTTGAATTTGACTATATAAAGTACGTATAATAACCTATGCTATCTCTAAATGAAGTACCTCTGAGGGGTTGCACTGGGACACTTAGGGACGTGATTCTTGTTTAGTCACTGAAATAGGCTGCAGTTACACCTGCAGCCTAAAAATTGGGCACAGGGTCATTAGAGGACAAAAATGTTTGAAAGAGATTGGCTTTCTCAGATTCAGCAAATCAGTGCTGCTTTGCCACTAGTGGTCACATATTTGTCATAGCTCTATTCTGCCTCATTTTGTTCTGTATAGGTTTCATGACTCTTGAAAGTGTAAGAAAACTGTTTGAATCTGTTGGATATTGCTCTGTGTTTGTAAGATTTGGTTTTTGGAAGCTGCTGCACAAATGGTGGTGGTCTTGGTGTTTGCACTGCTAGCGCAAAAGCATCGAACACATGAAAATGAGCGGTCATCAGGGGATGAAAATGTTTGAAAGAGGTTGGCTTTCTCAGAATCAGCAAATCTATGCTGCTTTGCCACTAGTAGTCACATATTTGTAATAGCTGTATTCTGCCTAATTTTGTTCTGTACAGGTTTCATGATTCTTGAAAGTGTACAAATACTGTTTGAATCTGTTGGATATTGCTCTATGTTTGTAAGATTTGTTTTGTGGAAGCTGTTGCACAAATGGTGGTAGTCTTGGTGTTTGTTTTGCACTGATAGCACTAAATAAAAGCATTGAACATACGAAAATGAGTGGTCATTTATCACTGGTAGGTTACATTCCTGACGAGTAGGCATCCAACAGCCTGGACTGAAGAAATGTAGTTGTCTTGTGTGGGATAAAGCTGCTCCAGCCTTTTGTGAGAAAGTAGCAAAAGCTTTCAGCGTGAGGAGAGCGTGGAAGGGAGTAGCTGTGTTTTTGTTGGTAAGTTTAGGAAGAAAGCTTAGGAGTATCTTTGCATGTGAGTTGCAATTCTTTCAAAGGAGTGTCTGCACAGGCTCTGTCCTTGATAGAAACTTGCACTGTACATGCAAGACCAACAAGAAATGGGTGTGAGCTGGGCCCTGCCTGTAGCCCTGGCACATCATGGTGGCAAAGTCCTGTCCTGGAGTAACAAGTGCAGGTAATGCTGCTTGGTTCCAAAGGCCCTGACAACCATCAAATATGCTGATTTAACAGAGCTTTAATTCTTTGTAGAGACAGTCTTCTGACTGACTCTGACTCTTTTCCAGGTGATGGTGAATTCTGCAGCTATCTCAACCTCTACAGCTGTTTATGCTGCTCCAGCTACAGGCTTCTCCTCAAATTCTGCTGCCTCCACTGCAGCCAGTGCCACAACAGCAGTTCCCCCATGAGCAGCAGTCCAGCCGGTCATGGTATCTCCCCCTCTATAGGGAGGCCAGGTAGAGTGTGCATGCTACAGCGGTGGACATGGATGTCTTAAGATTTCAGTTACGTCTTCCCCTCCTTTCCCCTCTCCCCCCACCTATCCAAGACAAATGTTAACAGGCTTAAAAAGTCAGCTTAGGACTGTGGCATAATCGTCATTTGCTGAAGTTGAAATCAGCTCTATGGGCCCATGCTCCTGGTCAGTGATTTTCTTATTTCTTTGTACATGACTAAGTGATGTTGAACATGGATACCGACTGCAGAAGTGGGAGGGGAGCAGTACACTTCCTTTGGTATCCATTTTTAAGTATCCATACAAGCAAAAACAGTAGGAAAAAGTGACTCCTTAAAACTTTAACTTAAATTCAAGCAGCACTTTTGGCATTGGTCCTATTTCCTTAGAATTCTTGATGTATTTTGCTTATGAGATGATGGCAATAGACTCCTGCTGGGAGGGTTGCAAGCTTTGCTTTTGGGTTGCCTCCTCAAGTCTCTTAATTACTGTACATGTAACTTGGCAATTTAATAATGGTTTTTCAAGATGGAAGAGCCAGTTTAAAAGTCAAAACATGATGGAAATGACCCCTGAGTAGGTAATTTGATTGTAAGCTGCTGTGCTGCTTAAAAACCCCAGAACATGCACAAAAAATGGTTTTACAAAGTTACTGGCACCAGTCGGGACCTTGGTCTTGGCATTTCTGCCTCTGGAGGAGCATCCAACTTGCACAGTCCTTTTGTGGGAAGGGGAGAAGATACCACAGCTCCTTTCACTGCAGAACAATTCACTGGACTAACCTCGTAAAGGACCCAGTAAAAGCATGTGACTTATTTTTATGAACTCTACTTAAGTAGAGTCTCCATGATGGAGCCATCACGTGTGTTTCCACCTCAGTCACAAGTGCCATCTGCCCTATCCCAAACAGTCCCTGTCGGGCACTGAAGTGAGTATCTTCCACTTTCAAGCTCAAGCTATGAATAATGCCTCCTTTCTTCTACTGGCACTGAGACAGCCTTGCTTTTTTTCGACACAAAGGGTTATCTTAGCCACGTGTTGGTGTTCTATCTTCTGGTATTAGCCTGTTTCCCGTAGTCAACTTCTTTTTTCACTAGAAACACTGAGAATTCCGTTCTGGAGTCAAGTTTTTTGTGTGAGCATCCAGACTTGTTTACTTTGGCACAGCATTTGATGATTGCCCCATTACAGTTTGGTAGCAGACCAATGCTCTGGGGTTTTCATGCCCAGCAAATCACAGAATTGCCATGAACAGGGATAGCAAGAGAGAGCTTTCAGCATAAGCACATTTTCTCTTGAAACAAGCACAGAAAAATCCATGAGTATTGATTTCTATTGGGAACAATTATTTTCCTTCAGTCTTTTTCTTTTCTTTCTTTCTTTCTTGGCCTTCTTGAAGTATGTTGTGGAATAATGAATTTTTAAAGCAGGAATTTGATCCTGAAGTGTGTTTTTCATTTTTCTTTCTTTTGTGTGGATGGTTTTTCAGCCGGTAACAGGGAGAACAGAGGAGACATGCAGCCAAGCCTGCACTAGTCATGCCTGCCGCCTCCTTTTCCACACCATGGTTTTGTGTATGAAAGGCAGGGGCTCAAATTAAATTAACACCTGAAGGCTGTGCAGGAAGGCTCCAGGAGCAGGCAGCACCACCGAGTGCTCTCTTCAGATGTGAGCACTTGTGATTTCGTAGCCCTTGTAAACAGCCTCAGAGCCAAGCTCTTCTGAAACAGCAGACGAAAGCAGCAGTGATCAGCTGTAGTGCTTGTGGTTTGGGGTGTGAGCTGCTCGTGGTTTTCAGTATGTCAGTCTCTTCTAAACTGCTGCAAATCCTCCTGCCCTGGGAAGGAGCAGGCTTTGGTCTGACTGCATTTGAGATCCTTGAGTGCACTCCTGTTCTCTGGGCACCCTTTGCTATACAGCTAAGTAAAAGCTTGGTACTTTGGCAGCGGTGTTTGGGTCTTGCACCAAAGGACGGGCCGAGCCTGTGCTCTGTTGCAGTTGGCTGTGGGTGCTGCCCTCCTGTCCTGTGCCCTGCAAACCCCCTCCACAGCCAGAGTACCACCAGTCCTGCTTCAGCCTGGGTGTTGTTGACATCACTGCTGCTCACTAGAGGCACGAGTCTCCTTCTGAAGTGTTCTGAGCTGCAGAACCTGTTGTTGAAGGTAATTGTTATAAATACTGTAGAGGAAAAACCCTGTTTCTGCCTGCCAGCAGCACCAGCATGCTGGGCTGTGCCTCCTGCGCTCTGCTTTCCCTTCGGTCACATAAGAACACCAAGCTGATTCCTACAGCAAGTTGTTTTTCTCTCTCAGTTGTTGTGTCTCATGCAGCTTCCATTCTCCCTGCAGTGCTGCTGGATACTTCGTTATAAAATTACACCATCAAAGATTGCATTCTATGTGGAAGGCATTCAGTGCACTAATCCAGACCCGTACTTCAGGTAACTGCTTTTTCATAAGGAAGGAAGATAAAACCCTCGGATTTGATACCTTTGCAGTAAGGTCAGAGTTTAAATTCTGCAATTATAGACATTCTTAGACATGATCAAGCAACTGCTGCTTCCCAAGTTTCACAGGCACCTGGTGCAAGTATGGAAGAGCTGAGCCAGTCCGAGCCACAGGCTCAGAGCATGTACTCTGGCAGGTTACTGCACTTGAGCCATCTCTGCAAGTCGGGCAATCTGCAGCAACAGGAACAGGCACCTGAGTCCTGATGGGGTGTGTTTATGTGTTGGGCTCATAAGGTTCATGGCTGTTCTTTTATCCCAGATGCTAACTCTTGCCTTCCCTGGAGCAGATGTTCTGCCACGAGCTTCAGGGTGCTGGGGCTTACCCTGAGGTAAGTGTCGTTCTGTTCCTGTAGCTGTGCTGCTCTCTTGATTGTGCTGTGTTAGAGAAAATGGTCTTTTGAGAGAGAGTCGAATGTCCTCAAGTGATGAAGTTAGTGCACTAACTCCCTCTACACTCTCCTTTATATGCTTTTGGTGTTCCCTATCCATTAGCATTTTCCAATTAAATCCAACTTGTGGTTTCTGGGGTTTTTTAAAACCAGTTCTTTTTGTCATAGTTTAAAGCCAGAAATGTTTGTTTCAGTGTTTGTGGTGATGAAGTAACCATGTGATTTGTATTGCTGCTTCAGGAAGCACAAGAGGAGATACAATACGCTCTGAAACTTCTTCCCCTGCCTCCCTGGTCCAATCTGGAATTCTCTGGTGCAGCACATTTGTCTGCATCTGCAGGGACAGCCAAGGAGATGGAAGTCACTTGCAGGGGCGGTTTGGTTCCTATTTCTGGAATGGGAAGCACAACTTGGGATTCAGGATGCCTGAACGTTGAACTTGTCAGCTCTCCAATGAGAGTGGGAATGTGCCCATCTAGCTTGGAAATGGCT